GGTCCGTTCCCACTCCCCCCGCCTCGCTGTATGATGGCCCACATCCGCATCATGCACCTTGTGAGAGATCAAGATGAAAAGTGAGCTTCAGGACATACTGCAAGGTCTGTTGTCGATCCAGTGAAGCGGACTGAACACAGACACCCACTTCCACATTACTTGGTCCCTCAGACGTTCTGGGGAAAGGACACTTTCACCTTGGCACAGGCCACTGCCCTCCGTGCATGCCTTCCTGCTTTACTTGGTCCCAGACCTGCAGGAGAGTTATTAGAGACGCCAGGGCCAGCCTATTCGTTCTCAATTAGACTCTCAGAAGAAACTAGCTTTTCTCGGCAGATGTGCTAAAGCTTGCATGTGGGGGCACTTCTTACATTTTCCAAGCACTCTCACCTACTTCCTATGCTGGGTGGGCAAGGCAGAGACCCGCCAAGAGAGCCACGTGAGAGGGCATGACTTCCAAACTGGCTGTTTACCAACAGGGGAGGGCCACCCGCCGAGCCCTCCTGTCTGCACCAACAAGCAAGCCTTGGAGTTAAAGGCAGGATTGTTAAGGTTCACTGAAATGAAAAGCTCGTTCCAGGTCAGCTGATTTTTCTACAGAATGGAAAGAGCCAGATTCATGAAAAAGGGCTTTGGAGGTAAATGGGACGGGGTGGGGGCCAAGTTGAGGAGGAAGAACTGAAGGACCGCAGCCCCCCACCCCAGGCCAGCATGGGGATGCCGTGCAGCAGATGCGTGCGAGGCAGGGCGCAGGGGCGAGGGGACAGCTGTGCCGGGCACAGGCAGCCCAGGCGGCAGTGTACTGTTCCACGGCTCGGGCCAGACAAGCAGAGAGGGGACGGGCAGCGAGGGCTTAGAGAGACAGCAGGTCTGTGACCGCCTCCCTACTAACATCTCATGGTTTTTCGCGATCAGAAATAATTCCTTCACTATCGACGTCAAAGGGTTATAAGGATAAATAAGATAATAGGCATTAAGTACTTTAAAAAAATAAAAACTACCCCAAAATGGAAGGGTTTAAAAAAATAATAACGACAAGCCTCTCACAGGAATGCAATATGCCCTCTGACAGACGGCACGCCAAGCCAGCTTCTCCCACTGACCAAAAGTAACCCCAGGGTCAGTTCTGTAGCCGAGTGGGCAAGGGAACCAGACCCCACAGGTTTGAATCCTGGCTCTGGGCGTGAACACATTCCAGATGTGTATGAGCCACGCCCCACATGGAAGTGTTTTCTCTTTTTGGTGAGTGCATATGCCCTCTTGGCAATTAAAAAAAAAACACTAACGGGGCTGGCAGGTGGTGAGGTGGTTAAAGGCGCTGGATTTCCAATTAACTCCAAAGGAAGCCCAAAAAACAAAATAAGATGGCGCCCTGCCATTGCGCGCTAATTAAAAAAATCTCCTTATCTAAACTCTTTGGGGAAACTTGTGGGTGATATTTATAAGAAAAAGATATAGCAAGAATATTTGATTTGCTAGACTTCCACAAACCTAGCAAAGGAAATAGTTCACTTGTCTTGAGGCAGCAAGTAGCTGGGCCGATTCAGAACACATCATTAAGAGTAAGATTTATAATTAAATGCCCTGCTCTGTCCCTGGCTGGTGGAGCTGTGGGCGTGGCTCCGAGAGTCAAGGTCTCCTCTGGGCATCGTCCCTCCCCAGGCAGGTGCTTTGGGAGGCGGGCAGCCTTGCTCCTTGGAGAAAGTTCAGAGGCGGCTCAGATGCAGTTGTTTATAGCTAGTATTTTCATTGGAGGCGGGCAGCCTTGCTCCTTGGAGAAAGTCCACACAGAGGCAGCTCAGATGCAGTTGTTCATAGCTAGTATTTTCATCCTCAAGCACTGCATTCATATCCTATAGCCTATACTAGGAACGTAACTCTTTAACTCTGTAATGGTGACTTAAGAAAGAGAAGACTGGGACCAGCAGTTGGCTTAATGGCTATGTCACTGGACTCCCATGTAGTCGACTATGGTTCGAGTCCCAGACCTGGTTGTTTAAATTCACACTGGGCGCTTGTGCCTGAGTGCATGCCCACGATCCAGAGAGGAGAAGGGATTAAGGCGTGACTGTCCCCCGAGAGGGAGAGGGAGAGGGAGAGGGAGAGGGAGAGGGAGAGGGAGGGAGGGGACTAAGTGATACTTGATATTCCAGGTGAAGCTCAATTTGACTTTAAGAAGCTCTTAGAGGGCTAGCCCTGAGGCCAATGGTTAAGGAACCTGCTTCCACATG